CATACAGCTGGCACACAATAAAGGGTGAAGTAGGCACCAGAGAGAGGTGTCACTAAAAATCTACATTCCCCTCTACACTCTGCTTTTTAAAATATTGAATAAAGACAAAAAAGGAGAGGAGTCAAAAGAGGATAGCACCGTGGAGCTGGATACAGGATCAGCTCGGTTCTCATCTACTAGGCCCCAAGTTTCCACATTCGTTCTTTGTCTTTTCATTGCTAAACTTGAAAATACAAAAGTACTGTATGCTACTCATTTCTTGTTGTGGATCCAGTCATCAAAACACAGAAATCTTAAGGCAATGTGGGAGAGAAGCAGATCACGCTTGTCCGGAAAAGTTGGAAGTCAGCACATTGCTTTCTCTTTTAAAATAGTGGCCTTCCCCGCAGTTAAAAATAGTGCTTCTCTCTTCTCCTTTTCTCTTCATTTTAAATTTGACCTATACAGTATGCTTGCTTGGATTCCTGGCGAGGGACATGGGCAGGAAATGGAAACAACCTGGAGCAACTCTCACGTCACAGGTTCAATCTGGGACACTGGAAATAAGTTTCTATTTGGGGTTTCTAAATTGTTCCTTCTTATTTACTTATTTCTTTATTTATTGTCTGTGTGAGTTGTTAGGAATCCCCAAAGAGAGAAGACAGTAAGACAAGAACCAAGATAATTAGACATGAAATATTTAGTTGCTTATTTTGAATGTTTAGGGATAGAATTTAAGATTTTACTGTCTTCTAATAAATTAGAATTTATATTTTCACATTCAATTAATATTCATCAAAGCTAGAAGATAATATATATTTATATATACATATGTGTGCATCTATATCTCTATCTTAATATTTATATCTATATTTATATGTTATCTATATCTAATCTGTGTTTTCACTGATAATACCTAAGAAAATAAAGTAATTTGTTGTAATGTCATATACAAATAGCAAAAGAGTAGGAGAGAATGATCCAGATATTTTTATGTCAAATGTAATATGGAGTTTATTACAAATACATGAGGTCATATAAATGTTCTTATTCAAATATTTTGCATTGATTAAATATATAAGCATGCTGATTCTATACAAGGTCCTGTTGCCTCCCTGAAAATCTTTTCCCAGCAGCTTTAAGATTATATAAAAATACCCTAATCACTGAAATGCATTAATATGTTCTCCTTCTTGTTAATGTGTTACTAAACCCATAAAAACCAGCACAAATTGTTTATCCTTAAAATAAAAACATGAGTGGGAAGAAATCTTTAACCAACATCAGCAAAAATACTGTAACTTTCATTCTTTCCATCAACTCATTATAAAAGAGAATTCTAGCTAAATAAGTGATATTGAAGATATAATTATTCTCCCTAAAAGTAAATGAACTCATCTTTTTAACAATTTATCTTGAAAAGGTGAAGTTTTGCCTATGTTTCTTACTGTACTAGTTTTCCATCTGCTTAAAGTTTTATTTATAATTGTATTTGGGCACTTCGTTAACTCTTTGCCTCATGCTTACAAATTTTCTATGCTACCCCATAGCTACAAATAAGCTGAAAAATATCTGAACATTTACCCATAATTCTGATTGTATATCTTCCATATAACACAGAGTTCTATATCAATATCAGTGTTGATCTAAAATATCTTGAGTCATACATGGATAGTAGATGAGTGCTTAAAAGTATCATGAAGATAAGCCTTGAGGACCCTTAAAGTCCCCTAGCTGCATTTTCATAGAAGTGCCTTATTGTCGGGCGTACATCAGATCTGCCTGATTTTAATATATAGTTTCAAAAGCTAAGTTGAGAATTTCAATACGGTGGTTCTTGTTTTAGTGTTTGAGGAAACAATTTGTAGCATGAAGTATATGTTCTACTCTTCTGAGCATCATTTTCCTTGCTCATCTGTGTGAAATGTTTTGGGTTTGATCAACTATAATTCACATTTTATATAATTATATTCTGAATGATATCCTCTCTTTAACGTGATGTCCATGTCTTAGACACTGTAGACTTTATGCCTTTTCAAATCAGTTTACTTTTGTGGCAATTAGAAGGAATAATGCAAATGCTAGATTTATCTTTCTCTTTCTTCATACAATCAAGAAGATCAGGCAATAAATAGAAACGTTCAAATGATGAAATAGCAAAATAAGAATCCAAGAAGTTTCTGACATGATGGATGAGTCAAATGTACTACAACGAAATGAACCCTCATGAGGAATGGGATGATTATCTTGGTCATGTTACATATGTTAAACCAGTTTTCTCAGTTTTTTTTCTTAGATAGATAGTCCAATCTATGTGACTACAATTAAACTATTCTTATTCTTCCCAATTGTCTTGCATGATTGTAATGAGTGTTTCTTGTGCTGATGTTTATGTTTCTCTTCCTTTGCAAGGGTTTATAGAGTCTCGAGTAGCTCACAGTCATAAGCTACTATCTTCCTTGATCATAGCTGACCTCTCTTGGCTGCACATTTGATCCACACCAGATCAAGTATAATTTCTTACTAAATAATCAATCATCTGTAATCTGAAAATCCTAAAATCTAAAACAGAAGATATGAGGAACGAATTTTCAGGAAAAACACCAAATATTAAAACAGTGAGAAAGTCAGTAATGAAAGACAAAGGATTCCTGTGAAGATTCAGAACCAAGTTCCAGACTCCACCAAAGAGCAAGATGGATTTTTCATGTTAGACTGTACAAGATGATCCAGCACCAGTTAGGAAATGCATATTCTGTTAAACTTAATTTTTCAATATTTTTTTCAAAATTGCTTTTTCACTTGTAGAAATATGTTTTTCACTGAGTCTATAACATTTTAGACTTTTTTCGTTAAGCTAACTTTATAGAATTTTAAAAGAAAAACTTCTCTGAGTCATCCATGGAATATGATTTGGCTTATGAAGCATGATCCATAATGAGTGTAAAAGTATGCCCCTAAGAATTAATGCAAATGTCTTTGTAAAATATGTTGTTAATATTATCTAAGTGATACTCAAAGTAAATTGTAAGAGTGTGCTTCATTAAACTTTGTTTCACCGATTTTATAGTCTTACCTTAAACACAGCTCCCTATTACTTTTTATTGTACTAAAATATGATCAATTTGCATGCTACATCTTGCTTAACCCTCTCACCTACAGGGAAATATTTCCCACACTTATCCCTTGATTAAACACAGTAAGAATCTCCCACTGCCTGTATTTAAAGGCAATGTTTAAATTAGCTTACCTATACATTACATCGTATCTTGTATTTCAAGAGCTCTCTGAAGCAAGGAGGGAAGCATAATGAAGCCATAGACTATGGCACTTCATTCATTAACTGAAAATATTACTTCATTTTTTCAGTGTCACCTGAAGTCTAACTTTCAATAAGTAACAAGTTTCATTAAACATCAATTTAGATGCAATGGGGAAGAACAACATTCTTGTACATGAACAAATGATATAATACTCTTCAGATAAATTTACTAGACATAACCATTACAGTATAGTCATCATATCTGCTTGGCTATATAGAAATATTCACAAGTTTTGAGTTCATAGTCTACCAAATAGCTACCACAGACTTTAACCATGTGAAGAAATGTTAAATTTACCCTGCCTAAGGAAACAACAATGGGAGAGAAATCACTAGATAAATAGCAAGCCACAGTATTTGAAAGGAGAAAGCAGACTTTGTGTACTTTGCAACTTAGCACCCAAATCCAACTCACAAAATTAACGGTACATGCTGTCCTGCAATTGGGCATCAGTTTGAAGCTTCAACTAAACCTCAATAAAATTGCATTTAAATGGAAGAATAACTGTCATAGCAGCCAATCTAGAGACTTCTGAGTGTAATTTCTCCTCAAAGAACCGATCACCTCTAATCTGAAAATTCTAAAATCTAAAATAAAAAATATGAGCAAAGAATTTTCAGGGAAAACATTTAATTCTTAAAAATCTAGGAAGCTAATGACTTGTAAATACTATTTGAGAAGTCAATGAGAAAAAAACACTTTTAAGATACACAATAAAATGCCACAGAAATTAGAGCAACCCACTGATTAATTTTTACCTACTCTTAATATTATACAATATAGGTATATTATTCTGTATGAAAAATGTTTGGATCAGATGTTTAAGGGATCTTGAATTTCTTTTTCAGATTTTAAAATAATGGATAGACGTTATGAGGTATTTTGAAAACAAGGCCCACTCTGAACTCATGTTTATGTGTGTTTCCATATGTGTTTCATTCACACCTCATAGCTTGGAAGCAATGCAGTGTTTTTTAGTATGAGACATCAGACAAGATCAAATGTGAACATTTCCATGAACGTTGTCTCTTTCAAAATCGAAAGTCTTGACATTTCAGAGTATTTTGAATTTTAGAATTCTCAGATTTGCGGTGATCATCCTGTAATGTGAACAGTGTTGTAAAATGACACATAGAATTAGAATCTAGTCTTTATCTCCTCAAAATAGAAGGGAAACTTATATAACCCCTTCTTTTTAAATGGTCACTGGGGACTCACTTTTCACATTTAAAAACTGAGATTTCCAGCCCATATCTTTTCACAAGTATATGCTAGAAAAAAAAGAAAAAATGAAAAAAAGACGTAGGAGGTTCTCAGTCCCACTCTCAGCACAAGACTACGTAGGACCCACCTCTTCATGGATCAGAGGAGAATTCAGATCACTGAACTTTATTTTATGGGTGGATAAAAGATACCCCAAACCACTACATTTTATATTTCGTCCCTCAGTGAAGAGCCATGTAAGCAGAAGAAAACCTGTAGCTTCCCCATATCCTGTCACTGTTGAATCACAACTAATGATTCTACTGTTTCATGTGGCTCGCTTGGTTTAAGTGCACAGAACTTTTATAGGTTAGTGAAGTATGAGTCATTAATGGACAATTTGGCTGTACATTATAAACACTTCAAGAGAGGCACTTTATGCTTACAAGGACAAAGGTCGAGTGCAAGCCAATAAAGACAGATTTCCTCCCTCAGACAACTCCCCATCCACCGTGAAAGTATTACATCCTCAACTGGAAGCCTGCCATCAACTTCTCTCACCAGAACACCAAGGTATCTATTGAAAATTTTATTTTATTGACAGTGCATTGCTTTCACATCAAGTGAAAACAAAACCAGAATGTTGTTTTAGTTTTAGTTTTAGTTTTGCTTCCAGTGTACAACTGAACAAAAGCGACCCTTCCTGGAAAGCATACAGTAATAATGTCTAATTGGGAAAAAAATTAAAAAGCTAAACATTTCTTTCCAAATAACACTACTGGCTAAACTTGGCTGTACATTGGAATTGCCAAGGGAATTGTACAAGATCATATGGCCAGCATTCTAGGAGTCAATATTTCTCTTTAATTGGTTTGTGCTGTCTTTGGCAGAGGGGTTCTAAATCTCCCCAGGTGGTTTTCATGTTCAGCTAAAGTTGAAAACTGCTACCCTACAGTGCAGATTACTACAAAGTTATGCTAATCCTAAAATAATTTGGAAACTTTTAGTGGAAATAAACAGGATGGAGAATATTTGATACCATAATATAGTGACTGAGATGCTCATAATTAAAAGAAAAAGGACGTATTAAAAATATTGTGTCAAGTCAGATTAGCCTATACAATTTTTATAAATTCCTTTAATGACACCCGTATGGAATAAGATATTTAGTAAAATCATATATACATGTGTAAGGAAAACTCGATTTTCAAAACATGCCTATATTAAACTACACTGTCTTCTTTGTTCCCTATGGGGGTTATGGAAGAAAATTACATGCTTATTTTTGGCAATTAAATTATCTCACATATTAACTTCTTCCAAAGAGCCAACTGGCTTTCTTAGCTGTCAGTAAAAATGTATTTAATTAAATTTACAAATTTTAATTAAAATAAATTTACATCACTTCTCCTCCCTCCAACTCTTCCCATGTCCCTCGTTAAACCCTCTCAAATTTTTGTCTCAAATTCATTGATTATTATTGTGGCATACATACACATATTAAGTCATAACTGTATAAATACTATGGCTGAGTTCATTGAGTGTTGCTTAAAAGTATATGACTTCAGGGCTGACCACCTAGTACGATATTAGGGGGTTCATCCCTGGGGAAGACAAACTCTCCATCACTCAATGGTCCAAGTAGCCTGCAATTCCTCAGTTCTTTATTTTTGACCTTATTCATTAGCATATCTGCGGGTGTTATATGACGAGAATGACATTTCAGTTACCTAAATTGTTACAGTTCTTCTCAAAATTCATGTCTATATTAATATACTACAGATACTGAAAGGACAATTAAAGTAACTCAAATTAGAACTTATCAGGATGGTATTAAGTTAATAGAAAAAAATAGACTTTCTTTATCAAATTAACTGTAATTAATAGTCTTTTAATTATATAAAACTAGTTCCTTACAAATAGATTCTGTCTGATCTATATATAATGGAAAGTGCACATACTGTAATTTATAAAAATGATATAAACACAACTAATATCAAGGCTACTTGCACCTTGTTTACTTATTTATTTGGTAAGCATGTTATGGATGACACCTTAGAAAACTAGCGCCCTCCCAAAACATCTAATAACGGTAATTCAAGTAGTTATTGTAGAAATGGTATTCCAACAAAACTCTTGGTGAAAAATAAATAGAATCCTTTCAGTTTTACTAGTACTATCAAATTTTGTCTTTCCAAAGAGAGAATATTCTGCTGTCCTTGAACCCTCCTCCTGCATCAGTCTATGTGGTACCAAAGTATTGACAGAGAGCCCCTGAACCTTCAGAAGTGGTAAGAAAGTAAATCATAGGCTGGAGAGTTCTGCAAGTAATAGAACATAAGTCCAGATCCCCAAGACAAGATTGCCAGATGCAGTAATGGGCATCTATAGTTCTGGAGCTGCTAAGGTAAGACGAGAGGAAGAAACATTAGAATTGCCAGGAGCTTACTGGCCAGCTCTCTTGGCACACACATTAGCTTCATGGCTGGAACATAGACATAAGCATCAAATGAGGCTCCAGATATAGGACTCAGACTTCAGCATAAAGCGAGACTCCAGAGTGGGAATAGAGAACTAAGTATCCAAGGGGGCTCTAGATCTGGGACTCAGCATCATATGTGTCTGGAAAACCATCACTCAGATCTAAGCATTATGCAAATCTCCATTCAGTTTTAATGATAGACCAAACAGGCCAGTGCTGGTAAACAAGAATAGGTTGATTAAAGGCACCTCTTATTCAAAGTCACAGAGAATATTTAAGATTCTGGGGATTGTTGCATGAATTATGGGCTACCTGAAACATAATACATGTTTATTGATGGACACATCCATGCACTGGTAGCTAGCGACAACAACTACACAGATTATGAAGTAAAACATAAAATGAGATCCTATTTTAATGAAGGTACAGAATGGCTATATTAATGATGGAAACACAGAAATATTTTTTAACACTTTGGTAGTGGGCATATGTATTAGAATAATTTTAAAAGAAAAGGGACTCTGGTTGTAGTGAATAAGAACTAACATTGATCTAATACTTACTGTGTCAGTAACCCAAAATGTTTTTAAAGAGAATCTCAAGTTTTCTCAGTTGGTAGAACGATAACCCTGGTATGTCTGAATCCCCAGGTTTGATCATCAAAACTATACAAAACCAGATATGATGAGATATGCCTGCAATCACAGCACTCTGGAGATTGAAGTGAGAGGATGAATTCAGGGTCACCCTCTGCCAGACAGCCAGTTCACAGTGGACTGTGGTTACCTGAGACTCCAAGGAAACAAAACGAAAGCTAACAAACAACAAAGAACCTTGACTTATCAATGATCAATATAACCTTTTTTTTTTTTTTTTGTCTAACAGCAAAATAGTTGAGGCAGGTCACGTTAAGATTCCTGTTTTACAGATGAAAAGGATGAGGCTTGGAAGAAGTCCATGATTTCTCAACAGACTTCAAACACTGACTGCCCAGATTCCAAAGAAATGTTTTTGGATATCATAATGCCAGGTTCTCCCTGCTTCTTTGTTCATCCACAGAATCTTTGCTGTGTTTCCTGCCATTTTCCCTATAGATTTTCAATGTTAAGTTTTGAGGTAGTCATTACCTTTATGCTTTCGAGTAAAATCTTTCTTCAAAGGCCAATCAATCAAATGTTCATTATGATGGGACTAAGCTACATTTATATATGAAATCTAGATGAAATAATACCAACTAAACAAAAGCAGGATAATAATGCCAATGAAAGAATTCACATCTGGAAGCCCAGACCAGAAAGCTGCTCCAAGTTGAGTCAGCCATGACTTTTTCATGCAAACAAGGATGGAAGGTGCTCATTACCAGTGGTGGGCTCTAGCCTGGTTAGCACCTAAAAATGTAGGGTATGCATCCAAACCCACGCTTTCAGATTTCCTTCCTTTGTCCATTGTATTTTCTCATGCTCTAGAAGTAAATAAGTCTTCGCTTCTGGAAAGGGTTTATATACAGTTATCTCAGTGAAGGCTGATACACAAAATCTCTCCCTCAGTCTGTCACTGTATTTGCCTATTAAGTCTCAGTAGGAGGCCAAACCATAATTGCAGGATAATTGTGCAATACCTAAACACATTCCAGTAACTTGGGTTCTGACAGCAAGCTACCACAACATTCAAATTCATCTCCCGGCATCCCACAGCCATGGATATGAAATAGACAACTTTAAAGCCATTTGTAAAAATCATTGTTGTTTTTCCATTTTATTTTTCTCCAATAAGACTTGATTTATCTTTAGGGGTTTACTTCCTTTAGCCATCCTGGCCTGGGCTGTGGGCAATAGAACATAGGAATAGTAGACCAGTATCCAATCTCAGAAAGTATATGATGGACAGCTGAGCACACATTAAAAGTATCCTGGCTTTCTACTAATCCTTTACAGAAAATTTGATTTAAATAGAAACATGTATTATCACTCAAAAGTACAAATACTGTGCAATGTTTTCCAATGGGTACCCCCCAACTCTATTCACAGGGCTGTAGATGCAGGGAAGGTGGCAATAAAGCTGGCTTTGGTGGGATACAATTGTTTCAATCGCTTGCCTCTGACTTCATTCTTTAATGAACATCTCTGGAATCAGTAATTACTGTGGGAACACATCTTTAGAGCTATTCTCAAAGACCAAAACTGGCAGAGGGTGGTTTTATAAAGTTCACAAAATGAATGGTGCCTTATTGCCATAAACAAAGGGATTTTTTTTTAACAACCAACTTTAAAACACTCAGCGAATTACTGATAAGTGAATGAGAGAATACAGATAAGTCTTTAATTGAGGAGAAAATGAGGGATTATACTAATAGTGCATTTCAACAATATGCCTGGATTCAAACGTGGGCCTTCTCCAGTTGAAATAAGCAATTTAAAAGCCTTCTATCCTTAAAATAAAAAGACTATTTCTTCTGCAACATTTCTGATTAAAACCTCTAAAATGTGCAGAACTAGTGTTCCATCACAGAATGGACTCCCCAAGTGACAACACTAGCATCAAAGCCTACACCGCAAGTTTCTAATTGTAGTTTTGAAATCTGAGAGGCCTTTGTTAAATAAATGTGATTACCAAATGCAAAGTAACATTACTTTTGATCAAAAATAATGCGTGTATGTTTTAAATTTTTATATCAAAATTGAAATATTTTAAAAGAGCCATTACAACTGGTAAAGACCAAATGATTCTTGGAGATCATTTGTAATATGCTAGAATTTGAGTTAATATAAGAAAACCATAAACATTATTATTAAAATGTTGAATGAATAGCAAAAGAAAAAAAAACAGTTTAAAAGAACTGAAGAGACCTGTGTCCAACTTCTAAGGCAAGTAAATAGCTTTCAGTATTGTTTTAAATTGAGGATGACTATATTGCACCAATACATCACTGAACATGACCTGAGTTCACAAAGTGAATGGTGCCTTATTGCCATAAACAAAGGGATTTTTTAACAACCAACATTAAAACACTCAGAGAATTACTGATAAGTGAATGAGAGACATTCTATAGACACTATATATGTATATAATCTAGATAGATAGATAGATAGATAGATAGATAGATAGATAGATAGATAGATAGATAGATTCCTTTGGGGTCTGATGACTATAGATGCTCAAGTTTCTTACACAGGGCATTACAGAAAGAAATTGGAGAACACCAGCAGATAGAAAGACCTACCATGTTCAAGGACTGGTGGAAATAATGTTGTAAAACTGGCCATTCTACCAAAATCAATCTACAGACTCAATAGAATCCTTATTACAACTCCAAAGGAAGTTTTCATAGAACTTTTAAAAGATAATCTTAAAATTTATATAGAAGCAAAAAATGTTCATTATATCAAAAACAATCCTTAAACATAAACATAAAATCTACTGGAGGTAACACCACCACCCTTGATTTAAAATTATACGAACAAGCTATAAAGTTATAGTCCTAAGCAAAAAAACAAACAAAACAAAACAACAACAACAACAACAAAATTGGCCTAAAAACTGGTCCTCTAAGAGTTTCCAGAGACTAAGCCACAAACCAAAGAATAGACATGAGCTGGCCCATGACCCCTGGCATATATGTAGCAGAGGACTGCCTTGTCTGATCTCAGTGAGAAAGGGCATACCTAATCCTGTAGAAACATGATGCCTCAAGAAAGAGGGATACTGGCACAGGTAATGTGAGAGTGGGTAGATGGATGGGGAAGTACCCTCTCAGAAGCAAAGGGGAGGGAGAATGGAGTGAAGAACTCAGAGAGGGGAAACTAGAAGAGAATCAACATTGGAATGCAAATAAAATAAAATAAAGTAAAATAAACTAGACATACTGGTCTATAAAAGAGAACAGAGGACACAGCTTTAATCCCACACATTACAGACACCTGGTTTTTTACAAAGCGGCCCAAATCTCCTATTTTGATTAACACTTTGCTATTGTGGTACCTGGAACACAGAATTTATGTATATATTTGAAAGGGTATCCATATTGTATACAACTCAGGCAGTATCTGCTCTAGGCTAGAAACTAGAGTATCCATAACATCCCTGTACTTTTCATATCCAAATGTAAACTAAATTATCCATGCCCTTTAAATGTTTCCCAAATTAATGGAATATCTTGGAATATACTCTGGTTTTGGTTTTGGATTTCTGTCTTCTTGTGCTTTTCTTCGCTTTGTTTTTCTATTTTTCACTTTCCTTTAACACTCTAAAGTCTTGATTACTTCAAAATTCAGCCAAGTAAATTCAGCCAAGTATCATGCACTTCTTAAAAAGCATAACACAGTATCTTTTTTTTCTAAAACGGTCTCTTTCAAAAGTCTGGCAATGGGTCAGCGCGTAAAAGTACTTGCTAGGCTATCCCAACAACCCAATTTTAAGAGCCAGACACTGTTGTATGCATGTCTATAATCTCAGAGCACTTCTATGGGGAGACAGAAGGTTTAAACAGGAGACTGTATAGACCTTCATGAGTCAGCGAAGCCTAGTTTAAATAGCAGCAAAAATAGCATCTTAGAAAAAAAAAGTAAAGGACAACCCATGAAGGTTGCCCTTTGATTCCTATATGTATGTGGTGGCTCTGTCATTTATTGCCCTTATACATAAATCAGTACACAATCCACATACACACACACACACACACACACATACACACACACACACACACAAGCATATTTCAAAAACATAAAAACTATTTTTACATTTTTGAGGTAATAATATAATTTTATAATTTTCCATTTAACTTTCCTTCCTCCAAA